ACCGTTCACTCCGACCTCCGTTCTGCCTCCACACAGCAGTGACGTCAGGACTCCGAGTAATGTCACTGGTTGCTAGACGCCAGTCGGGGCGGCCCTAGCGACCAGTTTACGGTAAATTAATTTTGATTCTGAGACAGAGCCTAGGGGGGCCTTATTTTCGGGGGGATGCCTTATATTTCACTCAGAAGGAAACCTGTAAGTAGGTCTTACTTTCGGAGGATGTTTTATTTTCGGGGAAACATGGTATTTGTAATACTTTAAACAAAAAAAGAAAAAAGAATAGAAAGAAAGAAAATGTGGGGCCTGGTTTTGTTTTTTTTTTAAGTCCTATTTAAAGTACTAAAATATAAAGGTTTTCCTTTCCCATGTTCTCTCAACCTGGTATGGTGCTTTATTTGGTGTTTAATGTTACACTCCCTCAGGCATGGGAATACTTGTGGGACAAGGGCTCCTCACTTGTTTCTGCATCAAACCTACTAGCTGCTGAGTTTCCCTTCTTACCAGCCACCGAACTACATTCCCTAGCTGTGGGCAGGGAAGTCAAGCCAAACGTCTCTCTTTCCCATGGTGTATTGCAATCCACATGGGTATTGCATCCCTGCTGGAGGCAGAGAGTAGCAGTAGTTGTTAGCAGGTACTTGGAGGGTAACACTGAAAACCCATCCAGGGGAGATGGGTAGGAGGCAGGATCATACTTGAGCCGAGACTCCAAGTTCTTGATGCATGTTTCATTGTCCCATTAGTCTTCACTCTTAAAACAAATTGAAAGATAATATTAATAATTTCAAGATGGCAATTGCCTACATGCAAAGCCCTTCTGAGCAATAGGACCCTGTGTAGTTGCACTTGTTGTTCATCCCTGAAGCCAAGCCTGTTCACTGCTGTCTGTTTTCCACACAGCAGATGACATTTTCAAACCCAGATTTGATAATGTACCTTCCCCGTATCACCTTGCTGTGATTTCCCATTATTTTCAGGACAATGGTCCTGTCCTCACTCTGCCTCACTGGCAGTATAAACTCTGAATGGTATGGCCCCAGCCTATCCTTTAACCTTATTTTATATAAGAAGAATCTGAAGCCTTCTAGAGAGGGCACAAGGCTACAGAGAAGGAGTGTCTCAAAGCTTTTGGTGACATCAGGAAACCAGAAGGCCCTTATCATGAATTTCATTTAGAAACAGCATTGCTACTGGTTCAAGGGGCACTTGTTCTGTCCCTTTCATTACGAACATGCTGTCTTAATATCTGCCATTCACTAGGCAGACCATTCAACACCTGTATCTCTTTCCTGAAGTAGCAGAATACACTGCCATGATGCTGGCCATAGCTCTCAGCTACTCACTCACCACATAATTGAAGTGGAATGTTCCTGTACCTGACCATTGTGGGTCACTGTTCTTGAGTGGCCAGAAGCACATATTTACTGGGCTGGGGTTCCTACTCTCATCCCCACCTTTCCTTGCCCCAAAAAAGAACAAGCTACACTGTATTGTAGCCATCATTACATTTACTGAGCCTTTCTGTCTTGGGACATAGACATAAACAAGGAAAACTTTCTGCTAATCTGCTGAGGGTGGTCACCCAAGAGGAGAAATGTGCTGAGTAGCAGCAGAGCAGTGTGTGCAAGGAGAAAGGCTCTGCTGAGGATCATAAGCTGGAAAGACCTTCCACAGGAGGGGAATTGGGGCTTATTAATAAGAAGAAACTCACTGGTGAGACCAGGCAGGAAAGAAGTTCCAGCATAATAATAGGCTGCTGAGTTTTACTGCAACGGGCCAAATGCTAAGCACTTCACATGCCTTGAGTCTCATCTAATTTAGCAGATAAGAAAACTGAACCTCAGAGAGAGCAATTAATTGTCAGAGTCCTATTCTAAGTGGGATCTACATTCCTAGAGCATGGAGCTGAAGGTGAAGGGCCAGGCCAGGGTCTGGGGCAGAAACATGAAGAGCAGGGAGTGGAAAGAAGGGAAGCCCCCAGCTGAGAAGGAAGTGCAGAGATCAGGGGCCATATGAGGTAGGGGTGGGGCTACCACATGGTAAATCTGACACCAGGAGACATCCTAGACTCAGGCCTTGGTTGATACCCAGGGCATGGCACTCAGTGCTCAGGATATGATATAGATTGTTTTTTCAGTTTGCCCTGGAAAAAGGGTTGAAGGAAAATAAAGCACACAACTCTTCTGAGTTGACAGGTAGCTTTCAGATTTACTAACTTTCAACCACAAGAGTGTGATTCGGAGTTTCCAGGCACAGAAGCTAGGGTAGACACCAAAGAGGTGTTAACATGGTGAATAGGCAGTCAGCAGAGTAACTGAAACATAGGCCCAGTAGATGTGGGGGAAGGGTCCCTTTAGTGAGGACCAAAAATTACCTCACTACCAGCTCACTGATCAAAGGGAGGTGGCCTGCACTGATGAAAGGGTCTTCAGAGACCATCTACATGAGCCTATCAGAAATTATAGAAAAACATAAGGTCAGGCCCCAACTTAGACCTACAAACTGGATGGGAGTCAAGCAGGCTGCATAGTTTTTAGGTTTCATAAGTGAATCAGACACACACTGCTGCAGTTGCCTTACTGCTTCACTTTATAGATGGGGAAACTGAGGCCCAGGAGGACACAATGACTGACCTGACTCTAATAGGGAAGGCAAGGTGTAACTACCTCCCAACCACAACACCTTTTCTCCCCCACTCCCATCTTTTCAAGCTGTTGTTTACTTTTTTCTATTATGGCAGCTGTTAACCAATGGTCTCACCAATTCAAACACCAACAGAATTCCCCAATTTGGGATGTGGTGAAAAAAAGAAACTTTATTCAGTACAAACAGCTCAACAATGATACAGCACAGCTATGAAAACAGCACTGCATTGGAACAGCTCAATTTGAGTCAGCGTGGCTATGAAAACAGCACAGCTGTGTGACTGCCCCAGAGCCAGGCCTCTTTTCAGTTACTGTAGGCAGCTCTGCTCTGCTCTGATGAGACATATTCAGAGTTTCAGCTTTAGTGGAAAGGGAAAGTGCATTCCCTGAGCCAGAGGGGAAGCTGGCATTTTTGGCAGGAATCCCCACCCCTAGTTTCTAATTGGTTCATTTTCATGTAAATGAGGACTCCAAATCCTCACAGTTTAATTGCTCCAAAAGCACTGTCCTGATTGGTCAGAATAGAGCCACGCCGGTTGGTCAGAGTTACACAGCTCTGATTGGATGGAGAAAGCCTCAGTCATATTGGTTGAAATTGATTCCAGGAAATCCTTTACAAGAGCTGGTTCAGATGGCAGAAACACAGTGTAGGCAGACTAGTGCAAGCTTCTTTGTGAAGTCAGTTTGTGTGAGAGGCCCCTGTGCAGAAATGGCTGCTGGGCTCTGTTTTCTAAAATTTGAGTACAGTTATTCATATGGAGCCCTTCTTAGGTGTCTAACCCTCGTGTGTTCACAGCTGTCTTCAAGTTCCAAGCACCTGGAGCACCTTCAATGCTGAAGGTGTTTGTTAGCTCAAACTGAAGGATTCTGGAGGTGGGGCCTATCAGGGTCAATCTTACTGCTCTGCAATTCTTCCTGATGTATTCCCTCTTGGTGGCTATTTCAGAATAGCTTGGGTGTCCCCCATCTCTGACCTAGCCCTTGAGGGTGCTGATTTGTGAAGGAGCTGACTCATCCCTTCTTGCCAACTGGCTCTGGTCTTAGGCCCCACACCAGCTTAGTGGGCAAGCCATAGCTCCTCAGGCTGTGTCTGGGGTTCCAGCCTAGGGCTCTTCTCAAGGTGGTACTTGACAGTGCCCCAGCACATGCCCAGCCAAACCAGAAACTCCAGTAATGGTCTCAACACTTTCTCCCTTTCAAAGATTGTGGGTGGCAGATGGGGAAATGGGGACTTATTGTGTTAGAGGGACAATTAAGTTTCCTCAACTATTGAAGGCTAAGGCCCAGACAAAACAGAAAGCAGGCCTCAACCTGGGATTTTTAACTCCAACATTTATACCATTATAATGCTGTCTCTCTGGGTTTAACTATATTCTTCTGGCCTGAAGACATCTTTAGAGGGGCTTCCTGCCCCCAGAAAGTGTCTACTCTGGAGACTTGGTGGGCAGAAGATCAATGTCCATAAAGCCTCAAGCTGTTCTCCATTCACCCCACCTCAGTGTTCCTACAGCCCACCCCTGTTGCATTTGCCCCAGAAGCTTTGAGGGTAAGATATGGATTAGGACACCATGTAGCCAGGATTTGATGAATGATAGTGAGTGCTCATCCTAGGGAAGCCCCCCACCCCCAAATGGTTTGCTGGTGAGGCATGGAGAGTCTAACATTTATGTACCTGGTCTGGAGTGAGGCTGGGGTGGTGGGCAACAGCACTCCTGATTCCTGACCCCTCCTTTCCCTTACCTTCTGTGACTTTAGTCTCCCTAAGTTTATGGCCTCTGAGAATAGCTCAACTAGGACATCAGAAGGAGGCAAGTGGAGAACAAGAGGGAGGCAGGCTGCAGGCTGCAGGCGGAGCTACACACAGGAACACAACAGCTCTACTTCCTGTGGGTGAGGGGCCTGATGCCTGCCCGTAGTGGGTGACTGCACAAACCTTTCTGCACAGGCTGCCTGCCCGCCTAGCCTCTGTACCTACCTGCCTCTCTCTCTGGCCACTGCCTCCCATCTGGGACTGGCATTCCTGCTAAGTCCTGAAGCCTGGACTGTGTCCTCCATCACCATGGGGCTGGCAAAGGGTTGGGCCGGAAACCAGAACCCGCCCTCCCATCACTGGGCAGCGCTCCTTCCTCATTTTGCTGCTGATTCTAGCCCCAAACAAAACAGATTGAGCTCTTTTGCTCCCTCTGGCAGCTCATCTCTAGCTTGTGGGTGTCTTCTGAGGTCCTGCAGACAGCATCAGCCAAGTCGGGGACGACTGGGCCAACACTGTCAGTACTGGGGCAGTGTGCCTGGTTCCTGGACCTCGTTCAACCCTGTCTGTGGGAGGAGAGAAAGCTTTGTCGTGGCAGCCTGAGGATGATGCCCCAGCTTCAATTCAGAGATGCCTTTTGGGTGAGTGAAGACTTCAGGGAGTTAAACAAGTAGAATTAGCAGACTGGCTGAAATTTCCCCAGAGTAGTTGATTGGGATGTGGTCAAGGGAAAAATAGTGGTTGTATTTTGTATTTGTGGAGGTAACCTGGGCCACCGTCCCTTCTAAGTTGGAAAATAAAGGGGGTCCTCAGCCTAGGGTATGATTGTTCTGCAAGCTTCAAGACAGAGGGTGAGAGATATCCCCTATATCTCAGGACTGGTTTCTTCTCCAGGTGACTCTCCCCCCATAGCAAAATTTTTGAGAGGAAAGTCCAATATGTGGGTGGGAATTTGAGGAGGCCAAATGATGAAAAGAAGGGAATGGGTCACAGGTTTGGGGACCAAACAAATGAATTGGATATTGGCTCTGCTATTTAAGGGCAAGATAAGTTATTTTACTTCTCTGAGCCTCGTTTTCTCTACTTATGTAATGGAGGTAAATATTAATAAATATGCCAGTCTACTGGGAGGATTAAACATGTTGATTAAATGTAACAAAGTCCCTAGTACCTTGGTGACATTCAAATAGTAATTCTCTTCCCTCACCAAACCTCCTTCCATGCAGTCCTTAGGGACCCTTGGAAGAGGCAGGAGGGCTGGTCAATTCCTTGCTCGTTTTCTTAAATTCAGTGCAGAGGTAAATCAAATCCTTTCTTCCGTGAGAGAATGGCATTCAACTGGTGGCTTGGCCCACCCTATAAGCCCAGTTTGGCCTCAAATCCCCTCTGATTTTTCCGACTGTTTTTCAGCCTTCTCCTCTGCTCCTGGACTTCTAGCTGTCCCCAGTACTCAAGGGGAGAAAGCTGAGACCTCTCTGATTAGAGCTGAGGAATGTGATTGTCCCAAGAGCCCCACTCTCATGGTCCTTTGTCTCAGTCAACAGCCTCCCCTCCCTGTATCCTTTTCTGGGACCTGAGACCAGCATGTGAGTGACCTATTTTGTGCCTACTCTGGCCACACAGTGGAGAGAGGGCTGCCTGGGTAGGATACTCTGTGCCTCTCTGGACCTCTGTTTCCCCATCTCTACAAAGAGGGAGTGGGACCAGCCCAGAGGAGTCAATGGAGACTGACCTGGCTCAGCCAATCCCACCACCAGGTTGGCAGCTAGGGATTACAAAAGGAGGTGGATAGGTGGCTACAGCGGGGGAGGCAGGGAGTGGTGAGTCACCACATCATTGATCTAACTTAGAGTTTAAGGTTGGGGAAAGGGGTAAGGCCGAAAATCCAGGTTGCTTTGTAGCCCAGGACACCCTGATGTTTTTCCTCCAGGACATCTATCCCACACCAGGGTGCCTGGGCCCACCTTCCCTAGGGCAGAGCTGGAGGCAAAGACATCTGGGCAGGAGGAGATAGTTATGAGGAAGCAGGGTGTGGCAGTAGCAGCAGCAATAGAAGCGGCAGCAAGAAAGCAGCTTCCTGAGCCATATCCTGCCACACTCTGCACTTGCCCCACCTTTGAGCCACTGTGAGCTTCATGGCCTCCAGCTGCCTCCTGTCCTCTACTGCTGGCTCCCGAGGCCTGATGTGGGGGCACAGCTTCCCTGGGAAGTCAGATCTGGGAGGGGGAGAGAAGTGATCAGTGGGAGCCTGACATACTGACCCTGGCAAATGCCTCAAAAGTTCAATGTCATCCTCATTGTTCTCAGGGCTCTGAATTCTAACACCACTCCCTGACCCTCAGCCCATAAGGACATCTAACACTCACAGAAACATGTGTCAATTCACTCTTTTAAACCAATGAAGTAGTTTTTTGTTTTCCATATTACTTGGGGATAAAGAGAGCTTAAGTAACTTGCCCAAGATCACAAAGCTTGGATTAAACCCAACAGGCTGGTTCCAGGGCCTGGGTTCTCACCCAAGGTGCTTCATTATTCTCTATCAACATGGCAGATCACTAAATTTTGGAGCCACATTGGTGAAAAAGACAAAATATATATAAATATATTTTGTCCTTCCTTCCTCAGAAGTAGGGAGATCAGGCAAGGTTTATAGAAGTACCTTGAAGCTCAATTTACACATAAAGCTGTAAAACACAAAAGGCATATGATCTAACTGCCAGGGATGTTAGGAATAGAGCACAGCCTTCCCCCTCTACTATTTCCCCCTACCCAGCCCAAGGCAATACCATTAAACCCTGCAGCTTGGCAGCACACTAAAAATGACTAGTCTTTAATAGTGGTAGGAAACCCTACAAAAATGATGTCCAATACCACAGCAGTTTAATTATCTGGCAATCTCAACTTTCTAGAACACAGGTGTCACCAGCCCTGTTTCTGGTACTGGTTAATAGTAAGAAGAGAAACAAAAGTCATTTTTAAGGAGCTAAGAGCTTACACTAAGGCCAGTATACTTTATTTATACTAGACTAGAGGCTTGGTGCACAAAATTTGTGCACGGGAGTGGGGGGAGGGGATCTCCTCAATCCCCAGCCCAACCTGCATACTCTCCAATCCAGGACCCCTCGGGGGACGTCTAACTGCTGGTCTAGACTGACAGTTGGACATTCCTCTCATAATTCTGCACTGCTGGCTCCTAATTGCTCACCTGCCTGGTTGCTCCTAACTGCCCTCCCACCCCCTGCCAACCTGATCATCCCTCACTGCCTCTATGTATCAGCCTGATCAGCCCTAACTGCCCCCCCCCCAGCCCCCCAACTGTCCCTCCCCCCGCCAGCTCGGTTGCCCCCAACTGCACCCCCCCTCACTGGCCTGGTCGCCCACAACTGCCCCACCACCAGTCTGGTTGCCTCTTACTGCCCCCCTGCTAGACTGGTCACCCCTCAAGACCCTCTTGCCAGCCTGGTCATCCAACGCAGCTTGCTGTTCAGTCCTTTGGTCAACCCTCACTAATCCCCTCTGCCAGCCCGGTTGCCCCCAACTGCCACCCCTGCTGGCCTGGTCATCCCCAACTACCCCCCTGCTGAACTGATCATTCCCAATAGCTCCCCCTGCTGGCCTGGTCACTCCCAACTTCTCCCTTGCCAGCCTGGTCACCCCTCACTGCCCCCCTACTGGCCTGGTCACCCCATGCAGCCTGCTGTTCAGTCATTTGGTTGTCCTTTACTAATCCCCCTGCCAGCCTGGTCTCCCCACGCAGCCTGCTGTCCAGTCATTTGTTGTCCCTCACTAATCCCCCTGCCGGCCTGGTTGCCCCATGCAGCCTGCTTGTTTAATCATTTGGTAGTCCCTCGGGCTGGCCCTAGATGATGAGCAGCTGAATCTGAGGCTTGCCTGCACCTCGAGCAGGCCCTGGGTGGCTGGGGTGCTGAGGGGACTGAGGGATTCCAGAGGCAGACAGGTGGAGTGATCAGGCCTGCCTGGGGATGGGCCTGGCAGTACTGCATGCCTACTGCCCCAGAGGGGACGAGGAGCCATCTTGTGGCTGCAGGTGCTGCCAACTTTGAGGGTGTGATAGTCAATTAGCATATTCCCTCCTTATTGGCTATGGGAACAGTCATCTTTGTGAGGGCATGATGGTCAATTAGCATATTCTTTCTTTATTAGATAGGATGGTTCATAGCTTTTACATAGGGCCTATGAACTCTGGTTTTACCCACAATTTTTACAAAATCAGTTTTGTGATTTTTTAACAGATAGACGTAGCAACTAGTAGGGTTCTGCATGGAACCTGGTGTATATTGGTGATTCATAAATATTGGTGGACCTGAACTTTTAGAGATAGTTTCACAGATATCTAGTAGCCTGATAGCAAGAGGAGACAAAAAAAATTATAAAAAGCAAACAGAATGGCTCATAAGTGGTGGAAACATTCAGCATAGGAGTAGAAAAGTTCTGTCCCTAAGGGAACCTGTATTTGCTAAGTTGTCAGTGTTGCCACAAAGTATTTATAGCCTGCTTTTATCTGTGGCAGAGCATTCAGATGCAGGCTGCTATGAGAATGAGGTGAGAGTAGGGCTAGCCACGTAAAGAGGGAAGAGATAATTTGATTTATATTAAACATACACCAGGAAAAAGAGGATCATGGCTTTGCATGAAGTTTGTGGCTGAACCTCAGAGCAGGGCCTCTCAGTGAAATATAGCTGAGGCTGAGAATACAGATGCCCAAGCTGAGAAAGCCTTAGATCTCCAATAACCTGCCTCAGCACCAAGTCAGAGGCGCATAGAAGCCTAGAGAAGGCAGGATGCTTCCCCTCACCCCTCTCATACACACAGCTCTCCTCTCCAGTGGCTATGCTCCCAGCAAAAAACCAAACTGCATTGCAAGAAACATCTGTCTGCATCCTCAGCACAGGGCTGGCCAGTGGGATATATACTGAGTCAATGTTTATAGAATAAGTACCCTGTTTCCCTGAAAATAAAACAGTGTCTTATATTAACTTTTTCTCCCAAAGTTGCGCTAGATCTTATTTTCAGGGGATGTCTTATCTTTCCATGCACTAGGTCTTATTTTCGGAGGATGTCTTATTTTCAGGGAAACACGGTAAATGAACAGTGAATATCTACATGGTCCCACCTGCCTTCTTGAATCTATTTTCTCCTCCATTTTACTTTAGTTATATTACAAATATTTGTTAAACAGCATTCTTGACTAGATGGTTTAAACTGTACTGCTCAGCCTCACCCCTACATCCAATCAGATGAATGAGACCATTTCGCCCTCAAGGAATTCACCCCCCAGTGCTAGAAACTCAGGTTTCCTGATAACTGGGCTAGGCCTTGTGTGCCAAGTGGAGGAGGGCTCTAAGACGTGCTTATCCCTCCTAGTGCCTCACTCTCTCCCAGACCTATATATCTAATGGCCTTTGCCAAAAAGTCACTGGATATTGCTTTAAAAGGAAAGTTCTAGTCCAGGGCCAGGTTTTATTGATATCTACATCCTACCCCTTTTGGGGTAATTAAAAGGTAAAGTAAGAGCCTGAGGAGGCTAGGCCAGAGTTACTACAGTGGCCTCTCACCTTTAGGCAGAAGCCACCAAAGGGGACTGAGAATAGGCCTGAAATTTTCCTTCTTTGTAGTTACA